TTTGCTCTTAATAATCTATTTTCTATTATAATTACTGCATTTTTTTTGGACTATAAGGTGCACCAGATTATAAGGCACAATATCAATGAACAGGTCTGTTTTCATACATAAGGATTACAAGGCAGATTAAGCGTAACAACAGTCAGATAAGTCAAACTTTATTCAACTCACAATAACTCTCAACATTGTTCACTTGTACCACATAAAATTGGTTCGAGGTCAGTAAGCACAACCAGAATTAATACATAAGGCGCACCAGATTATAAGGTTCACTGTTTGATTTTTGAGAAAATTAAAGGATTTTAATTGTGCCTTATAGTCCAAAAATACGATAATCTATTTTTGGTGAATCTTTCTGGGTTTTATTTTTTTAGTTTGAGGTTATCTTTTTTGCAGTAATTCATTTTTCCAACCTGGTCTTATTTTATTTAGCAAAAGAACAAAAAGGAAATTGGGTCTGAATGGTGGATCTGAGTCAGAATAAAAGATTTGTAGAGTAGTCTGAAGGTCGGCACTTCGATCTCCAGACCCTTCAGGTTTGAAGTGTCCTTGGGTAAAATACTCAACCTGTTAGCGGCTTGCTGGAGTAAATGAGTGTACAGTACAATAGTAGGAGATGCTCTGTCTATAGAGATTGGAAAATTATGTGAACTCGTGTGAGAGAATGAAAAATTATGTGTTTTGTGGAACCAATCCAAGGTGACAAAAGGTGATATGCAAGTGCAGCCTATTTACTCCCACTGGAAAGATGTTCTCAAACACAACATTGCTCCACTCCTAGAATGGTTCATTATTCACTAGATAAACAACATTGTTTTAGTGAAAATTTGGGAAACTGTCAAAAAAAAAAAAAACACAAACCAGTAAGATGTTTATTAAGATTACAAATAAAGTGGAAAAAAAGCACATTTCCAGCAGAATTTTACTGGGTTTAAAAGTCTGCGCATTAGTTTATTGTTTATTACATTACTTTGTTGCATTTCATTCTTTTGACCTTCTGTTTTTTCATCATAGCTCAACTAGTCCATTATAGCTACATTTTTCACTTTGGAGATCGTTCAACTCTAAGCTGTTGTTTGTTTCTAGTTGTTTTATGTATACACACACATATATATATATTTATATAAGTATACGTCTGAACTCCAGTCACCTACTTTTTTTTTTTTTTTAATTTTATATGGGGCAGAGATAAGAATTTTCT